TTTTTAGTTAATTTAAAATTCCCAAGGTATTAAGGCTCTTATACCCCATCTCCCTTTTATCTATCTAATAATTCATGAAAACCGTGAATATGAATCTGACATCTTTCTTTATGATTCCTGTACTTGGAATACAGGTTATTAAAATTATTTATACTTTCTAGTTGCTAGCATTCTGATATGATTGGTGATGGACTGAACTCTTCAGAGGTACATGTATTCCTCTTCACTAAGAGGGTTATTGCAGATAGCAATTCTGAAGGAGAATCTGTATGTCACATTAAGACACATGTAATATTCTCCACAATTCCCCATAATTGTGAGACACAATATCTTTTTCACCTTAGATTAACGTTCTCCATGCTCTTTGCCTATCTTAATTCCACCTCTCAGGCTTAGCCAGGTAGATTATTCTCCCCAAACGATATTACTTCACGTGGTTGCTATGAGGAATCAATGTGTGGCTTGCAGATGAGTTTTCAATGAATGGCACACAGTAGATGCTCAGTTAACTCTGTCTTCTTTCTCTCAATGGAAATAGGTTCTGTTAGTCTCTTTCTGATCCCCAACAATATTTGACTTCCTGATAAAAAATTAACAATTTTTCACCTTCATATTTTTCTAGAAATTATTTAATGACTTTATGCGTGTTTCACACTGACACCAAAGCTTCCTTTCATTTTTTAAATTTATCACAGTTTATAAAGACAAAGAGCTGATAACTTACTAGATAGTGAACATGGAGAAGGAAAAATTCATAAAGGAAATCAACATAGTATAGTTTACAATTACACTTCTTTTAATTTTTTACCCTAGTTTAAAATTCATGTGTGTAGCCTAGAAAAAGTCTTATTCTTAAATTTCCTCGTTAAAAAATGGGAGTCAAAATCTCTGCCCCACCTTGTTAAAATTTTGTTTCCCATTACTGCTATCATCAAAGAATAGATAAATGGATGGGGCCACACAAGAGGTTCTGCTGCACAGCATTTGAACTTACTTGTCCATTTAATCACAATTTTGTAAATTCATAATGAAAAGTTTCCAATAGAAAAAAAAAACACTGAGCAGATTACTCTGATGACAAATGTGTGACCCTTTTTGTCTTTCAAAAACCCCAAAAATCACAAGTTGCCATAACAGAGTAGCACTTCATTATGCATTATAAGGAATAATACTTGCTTAGATTCCAAAATGTATAATTAGGGAATTTTAAGTCTCTGGGACCCTTTGGTCACCCCAGTCCTCCATTATGACTGTGGCTTGAGGGCCACGTGGCATCACTCAGCTTCTATTCAGTCATTCTGAGAGGAGCAGAGATTCCCGCAGAGCTTTGAGCAACGGAAATAATTGGGTCAAAAATATTGTAAATGCTTTCATTTGGTAACAAGATGGTTATCTTGAGCCAAAGCTTATAATGCTTGTATGTATGTTGTAACATCTAGTTAACCAGTCTAGACTTGAATGCAAAATCCAAAAACTGTTTAATACCTTGCTCCACAGAGGTGCCAGGATTATTTTTCAAAATACCAAATCCAAACTGTATGACATTCTCTACATTCAAAATACAACCCAAACTGTGCAGCCCAGAAATCAATGTCTTTTACAATGCAGGTTTTGCTGTCTTCCCTTAAATTTATTCAACAAATATTGGCTTATTGTCTACTAGGTAACCCTGCTGTGCTGTCCAGACCACTGATTCCTCACTGTTCCTGAGTCATGCACTAAACTGTTCTGACTTTGCTTGACCTGCTCACTTTGCCTGAAATGCATTTGCTGCTAGATGCCTGGAAAATCCTGCCTATCCAGGCTCACTTCAAAGAGCAAATCATTCTGTCAGCTCTGTGCATGCTGGGATCTGTGGTAACAAATCTCTAGTATATTCTGCTCTCTCAGCTTTAAGTGTTCTGTCTTAGGGGTGGAGGGACATATCTTTACTTTGGATCCACTCATAGCAGTTAGGTGTTAGAGGGGAAAAATCCTAAGAATAGATTCACTAATTTTCCATATTCAATTTATTCACATCATTTGCCCACAAAAATGATTTTAGAGAATTGGATCAAATATTTATCAACTGATTGCTTGGAGCCTCAGTGGTGTATTTGATAATGGATTCACTCCAAATCAGTCAAATTGCTAGGTTTCTAAGACGAAGCTCTCAGAAGAGGGCAAGAGAAATAGAAGCATTTCATTATGGATGTTTTGATTTAAATTTCAAAGTAACACTTGTTTTTTTAATGTAATATGATTGCATGTTTACACTCTTGAAATACAGACAAAAGTAATATTTTTTCAAAAACATGGCAGTGTATGGTACACACAGGTGCTATATGAATGCTAATTTGACTAGTTTTACCTACTGACTATATGTATGTATAAGAGACATCAGTACAACCAGTTGAAAATTAACATAATTATGTCACATTTCTTTACCTGTAAGATATTGAATATCAACACCACTTTTCTCTTTTCCTTCTTTCTTCCACTTCTGAGATTTGATTGACTTATTTTATCCTATGGAAGAGTAATGTGCTCAAGTATGTCCCCTTCTCCTATGAGTCACTACCATTAAACCTCCTACTGCCAAGGTCCTGTCTTTGGGCAGTTAGTCGAGAGCAGTGACGATGAATCTTTTTGGAGCTTTCAATGATAACAATTAGCTGACTGTTCACCACCACTGGCCTAGAGAGTGCTCCAGTCAATGGCATACCCTTTTCCTGCTCAAGTTTCTTGGTCCCCTTTGGCTCTCTTGTCCCGCTATGTAGCCTGGACCCCTTAGGTGACATCTCCAGCTTTGGATTAGAAGTTTCTAAATGTCTTTTTTCTGAGACCTGTCCTGCCCCTCTGACTTCTAGAATCTTCCACTGACCTCTTAAACACAAGATACTTACAAGCTTAATGGGTCTGTCATATCTTCCTTATAAAGAGCAGTTTTATTCCTCCTCCTAAAATATTTCCCAGATTTTTCAGCTTAGGGCAGGAGGGGAATTGAATGATTTTTTTCTTTCATTTTGTCTGTTCTTTTTCATATAATGGCCTTTCCTGTGCATGGCACTAAAGCCAGCTGAGACCCATTCAGTATTTGAAGTAATTGAGAGGTAGAATACAAACGACTTTTTTTTTTTTTTTACATTTTATAGTTTTGAACCTGCCAAACATTTTAGGTACATACATGTCTACAAATTATTCCAAATACATTAAATTTATAAGACTTGTCTTAAATCTAAATATTGTCAATCCAAAGCTTAGTTCTAATATGCCTTATAATTATATATATTTGCATAAATTAGGAGTCAATTTTTCAATTATGAAAAACATATGCAAAGAGGGATAGAGTAGGTATTTGGGAAAACATTAAAAATATCCATTTATAAAAATAAATTATTGTGGCCCAAAGTGGTATTATTTCAGGAGGCAAACATTTCTTCCTTGGTATTTTAGATCAAAGGAACTACTTTTATGAAGGAAGAACATGTTATAGATATATTTACTGTATGTCTAACCACTTAAGATGAATGTTTATAGATACATCTAGAAAGATCTATTATTGATGACATATTTTGTGTCATATTTTACTGCTTCTGTTTTTATACCATTCAAATTACAAAAATTGTGGAAATTATTAATACAAGTTAAAGGAAGAAGGGAAAACCACAAACTAGAGGAAAAGTGTTTAACATGATGTAAATATTTTGCATGTAACTTACACATTAATAATTGAAATTAATTTATGTAATGAAAGTGAGTAATGAAGTTGGTAATTATTCCTTATTCATATAAATTTTTACAGTTAACTGCACAAAGTAAGCCAGGATGAAAGGAATAATTTGGAGAGAAGTGTTTAATTTTCATTACATTGGCAAATACAACACAGATATTTTACTAATTTATATTTTACTAATATAAATTTATCAAATTCTGAGGAGAGAAGGGATCTTAGAAATTATCTAGTTCAAATTTTACACTTTACATTTGTATAAGGTTAGGACCCAATCAAAGCAAATGATTGGTGTTTGCTGTGTATCTGATCAGGCATAGAGTGGAGACTGAACTGGAGAATTAAACAATTGTGGCCCAACTGTGTGTGTGTGTGTGTGTGTGTGTGTGTGTGTGTGTGCGTGTGTGTGTATCACACAAACTTTAAAGTGAAATCCATTCCAACTCCAAGGAGAATTTAAATGTTTGAGCTCACTACAGGTATGGTTTTCTGATTCTTCCCAAAATGTTTAAGAAAGAATAAATGGGATTTAGAAGTATGTGATAGTACTTTAAATTGTATTTTTAGACAAAACTGCATTTGTATCCAATTCTTTGGCTATACAGAAGGGAGATTCTTCCAGCTCAGATCTTTGTCTGCCACTAGCACCATTATCTTTCTCTTTTCTTTGCCATTGTGCTGCTTATTACATGGGGAAGGGGCCTCTGTCCACTGTACTATGGAATAGAGACACTGTTTCCATTTGGTTGACTGACACATAGATAAGTCATATAAAAGATTTTAAAAAGAAAATATTTGATCCATAAGAAATAGGTCTGCATATGAATGTTCATTTAAGGCCAATATGCGTTTATGACAAGGGGTTGAGAGTTAATCTCTATGATTTGTGAGAAAGTAAAGAATCTCTAAAAATTAATACTGCTTGAGGAGTAGGACAGTCAACTTATTTCATTGATATTATATCACAATTACTGCTATCCACAGTTTAAATAGTACAGTGGCCACTAAATATAAAAACAACCATTGAGATGTAATGTGAAAATACTGACAATATGTTAAACTGGCAAGGAAGCTGGGATCCTACAATGGTGAAGTCATGCAACACCTCAGATTTCTTATTGGGAGTCTAAAATAATTACTTTTTAGTTTGACATAAAGTAATGGAAGAAAGTAAATGTTTTACTCATACAAATATTGTTCTACTGTTTTGTAGATAAAGACTTTAAAATTACATCAAAATTTATAAAAGTAACAGTATCACTCAAGAAGTAAAAGTGTATAAACTTACGGCCCTGATGCTTTCAAAATGTCCACCGTCTTTCTCAAAATCAATAGGCTGTCCTTTCAGTGTCCAGTAGAAATTGACATCCAAAGTGGCATCGTGAATTGCTTTGCAATTAAGGACAATGCTTTCTCCCACTGTTAACTCTGTTCTTTTTGGAGTAAGTTCTATCTTTGTAGGTTCTATGAAAGTAAAAAAAATATATTAATGACATAATAATTAACATGATACAGTGCTTCTCTTGGTCCTATGTCATTTTAGATAATAGACAAAAACAAGGATTCTATACAATGTTACAGCTTTTTGGATGGTAGGACATCTTTACTATGCATTTTTGGAGGACTAATAATTTTAGAGTTCCTGTCCCTATGGAGAAGTCAACTTGAATGAAGAGATTAGACAACTAGAAGCTGAATTTATCATTCTGGAGGAATAACATGAAAAAAGAGTAGATTCTGCCTCTCTGACATCCTTTAAGGATGATCAAAGAAATAAAATATTCTTACAACAAAAGTGCTGCATATAATAAAGGGGAGAACACAAAAATTCACTTCTTTATAAGAACCAATAGAGAAAATACCTCCTTTCCAATTACTGTCTCATAGGGACAAGAATGTAATTCTACAGAATACCAATTTTTACTACATCTGTACACCACAAAACTCTGTGTGTATAGAAAAGAAGAATAGACACTTCTGGGTAATTATAAAATAAATATCATTTCAGATAGATTGTAGTTGAGTTAATTGAGCTATATAAAAATACTAAATTTGAAATGTCTCGATAAAAATAATTTGCATTGTGATTCTGCTGAATTAAAAAAATTACTGAAGCTACAACAACTTTGAACTAATAAATACTAATATAGATGTTCATCTAAAGGTTTAGTGAGTAATTAAATGACTGCAATCTATTGTTTTGAATAAATTTATTGTCTTGAATAAAATACAGTGGTGATGAAGATATGATTTTGATTTTATCTTCTTTGCTAACTAGATTTCTGGATGTAGATACCACAGGCAGATTGACACAGTGATTAAAAATTAGCTTACCTTTCCTATTTTAACTGTTTGCAAAGTTAAAATATGATAAAGTACCTCTCTTAACTGTATGTCAGATATTTTAATATACAGAGTAATTTTAATCAATTGCTGAGAAGAAAAGACAATTCCAGGACCAGAAGGCCATTGTGAACGTTGGCGTTATACAGGCCAAATACTCAGTGACTCTATACTGTAGTTTAAAAAATGTTTTCGGTTCTGAGTGAATATATATCTATTTAGTACGTGATTGACATAAAACATTATTTTTGTCATCAAAATCAGGATTTTGATGGATTCAGGATTAAGTTGTTATGAAAAGTTTAGCATGTAGAAGGAATAAGGGAAAGAATGGAAGGGTTCCCGATATATGGTATAAATGAACATCTTCTAAATTATGTTATTCCCTTCCCTTGACATTTGACACTTTTCTAAGCTTCCAGGCTGTTGGCCATTATAGTTACATTTTCATCTTCAAGGACAGAGAAATTTAATATTTACATATTTTTAAGTGTACAGGTTATCATTAAGTACAACATAATATTATGAATCATCATTAGCATTCATCTCCACAAATATTCTCCCTTTCCAAAGTAAAAATGTTCATATTTTTATGGAAAAAGTATATTTTATTGTAAAACACATGCACAATTAAAAAATTGAGATATAATTGAGTTGTGGACAAATGAATGTTCTTGGTTTGAAACCTAGTTCATTTAGAACTAGAAAATGAATAGATATACAAGCAGTGACATTTATTATATTAAAATAAAGACATAAAATTCTATTGAAGCAAACATCAATGAAAGCAACATCTGATGCATCCACCTTCACCACTTATTGATTTCCTCTTTCTGCTACTCTTTTCTCCTGGAAATATCCAGTTGAAATGACAACAAAGGAGGACTCCTGACTGACGCTGAAATTGTTTTTGTTAGACCAAAAAGTATTTTTTTTTCTTGCAGTGTTGGGGACCCAACAACCTAAGGTCCCCCACAAGTCATACAAGTGCTGTACCAGGGGACATCTCTAGCTCAGGTGGAGGAAAAATCACAACATGGTGAGCAATCTGTAAACATTTTGAGATACTGAATAAAACTTTAAGAACTTTCTTGACCCTCTCAAAAAAATTTTCAAAGCAAAATATCCAAATTTCCATTAATAATCACTTCCTTCCTGTTTGGTCCTTTAAATGATAAAAAAAGTATATTTTGGCTGTATGTTCTGTATTTGCAATGCATTTCAGAAACTACAGCATGCATACACATAAATATAAACATATATATGTGCATATCTTATGTATTGTCCTTATGATAAGACCCTGAAATTATGTTTGCAAAACATTGAGCTACATTTTCTTACCTTTTACAGACACTGAAGCTACAATTTCAGCAGAACCAAAGATGTTTTCCCCTCTGCAAACATACTTTCCCTCATCTGATTTAGAGGCGTTTAGGATCCGTAGACTCCCGTCTGGAAGAATAGCTATTCTGAAAATTATTAGAAAGTTTTTTTTTCCTGTTTTACTGCATATCAACTAAACAATTAGCAACTCTGATGAGATCTGAAAATCCTTCTAAGGTAATATAATAAAGGATTGCTGTGAAAATATACAGGGATAATATAAACACTTCACCATTCAAAGTATTATCCAGTGACCCCACTTAATATCTTCCTGTATTCAAAAGAATTAGGAAATTATAGATTATTTTCTTTTTTAAGACTATATTTCTTTCAACAGTTTTTAATAGTTCATTTCTTAACTTGTGGGAAAAAGTGACCCAGAATTTGCTTATTACAATTCGTTACTATAATATCACCTAGCATTATTTTGATATTAAACTTGAAAATTTTACCTCAAACCAAGAGTCACCTCAAAAATCAAATATAGACAGAAACAGTGTAAAACACAGAGGACAAGTAGAGGACATAAAGTTAATCATATATGGCCTAGAGAAGATTTATGGGGATTTCTCTACACTGTCACCAGCACTGCAAGGCTGTGGAAGCCTGACCTGGTGCCGCCTGAGTTCTCTGTGTGTCTTAAACGCAAGAAAATGACACCTTAGTTTGCATTTGGGCTCTTTCAAGACCCGTGTTAAAAATGGATCTTCAGTTTTTTATAAGGAGAAAGATTAAAGCATTATTAAAAAGTTTTAGAAGTTCAAGGAAAATGAGGTTGGCATTTCAATTTACTGTATTGTCCTGTACATTCATCATTTCAGGAATTTATGGGTTTCAAATTTAATTAGCACTTTGCTTCTTTTCTCCTTGTTAGGCTCCTTTACTGAAACTTAGGGTTTCACTACATACACATACAACTTGCAATGTGGCAGAAGCAGCTGCTGTGGTTTTAGTGGACATGTTGTTAGGGTTTGAACTTACTTGTTCAAACTAAATGAGGAATTAGGAGACTACGCTGCATAAGTTAAGAGCCAGTGACTGCACTGAATTTAAAGTCCTAAAACTGAATTCTTCTGTTTTAAGAATGGTTTTTGCTACAGCAATATGATAATATTAAACTAAACTCCAAGAATAATGATTAAGTCTGTTTGGTCTATATTTTCTATGTTATCTAAAAATGTAATTCAATCTTACCAATCAGTTGAAGCTGATAGTTATTTAGAGGACTGAACTTCATAACAAGTGTTCTTATATCCTAGGCTGTTGAAACATTACTTAAGAATTTATGCTTACATATTGCCATTAATAAAGATATCAGTTTTAAAACATCATATGGATTTCAATATGGATCAAACTTGATTTACAGTGTATAAGAAGGAAGATAAATTTAGAAAAAAGCCAAGGCAGGAATAGATAAGTTGATTTTCTAGTCTATGTCTAGGAGAGATACTAGTTTGAGCTACTTGGAAAACACATTGTCAAGAAAAGCTATATAATCCTGTAATTCTTTTCATTATTTAGATAATGATCAATTTTATCAGAGTGAATGGGATTAATTTATTTCATTTCAGCCCCAGTGATACATGTGCTACAAAATATATATTTTGAAAACAAATATTACATTATTTGTAAAAAAAATAGGCATCCTCATAAAAAGTACAGACTACTGAGATTTATCTAATTGCTAAATTTTTGAAGCTTATTATTATTTTGAAACTATATGGATTTTACTAACTAGAGTAAATTTTAATGTTTCAGGAGGGAAATTTAGACAAAAGCTCATCTTTTTTAAGGAAATAAATATGTCTGTGGTGGCACACACCTGTAATCCTAGCATTCAGGAGGCTGAGCAGCACTATAGCCATGGTTTCCAAGACAGTCTGGGTTACATAGTGAGTTCATAGCTAGCCTGAACTACATAGAGACACACTGTCTCAACAAAACAAAACACAATAATAAATGTGTCTTAGATATTGGCAATATTTTCACCTTGGTTTAAGATAAATGCTTTTTTACTAGCAGGAAGAAACATATTCTTTTTAAAAGATAGTATATGAACAACATTGAACTTTGGTCAACTGTTACTTGATGGGATAAAGAAGTTTAAATACCATAATACTTGTCTGCCAAGTATTGTAATTTAATCAAAATTCTTTGAATTCAAAATTTAAAACTTTGTCAGATACTTTTTAATTTAAGAAAGAAAATTAAGATTAGCTAATGTTATTATGTCTCATTATTACACACAAAATTACTTAGTAATTATAGAATTTGTTCATTGAGATTTTAGCCTTTTTAGTTCTAAGCTTTGTCTATGATAATTTTTTGTTTATAATATGAAAATTATTATTCTTTTACTTTGCATGTATTTAGCCAGTTGTACCAAGCTTTCATTTTGAAAAGATTTGCTCTAGACTGATTGGGTCTTCCCATTTATATAATGCTACTCTCATTCTGAGATGAAGTTGTTGGGTGATAATTAGGATTTGAGACTGGGGCTCTCATGATAGGATTGGTGCTTTAGACAAAGATAAATGAATTTTCTTTTTTCCCTCTTTGCTCTCTTTCACAGGAAAACACAAGAAGATGGCTCTCACCAGAATCCTGTTGGATTTGCTCATCTCCAGAACTATGAGAAATAATTAACCCACCCAGACTTAATAATTTGTCACGGCAGCCCAAATGAAGACACTGCTTGTTTTCTTAGTTTTCCATCATTGTTGAAATTCAATTGGCCATATATATGTAAGTCACTTGCTCACTTCTTTGTATTGTACCACTAATTACATTTTAAATCATAGCACAGTATCTTTATAAGACATTGGTATTGTGCTATAGTTGGGATCTTAAATTTCCTGCACAGGTCTGTGTATTAAATGTGATTCTCAGGATGACATTGCAAGTGGAAACTTTAAGGGGTAACGCCTTTTGGAAAATCTCTAGGTAGTAAAACTGTGTGGTTTTCAGTCTCCTCATTTTTGTTTACATCTTAGTTTTACTCTGCGAGAGACTGCTACCATGATACGCTGCCTTGTTATAGGCTCAAAACAATGTAACCAACTGATCATGAACTGGAACTTCCAACATTGTGGGCAAGAAAGAAATTTTGCTAAGTTAATTACTGAAGTGTTTGTTATAGTGATGGAGAGCTAACACATAAAATCCTTTGATCTTATTAGAATTTTCCCACTGAAACTTAATCATGTGTGTGTTTTAATTTCTATAAAACTGTCTTCATCTTTTTGGGTCTGGGTACATCTGTTACAATCAAGATGCGGAAGGATTCTAACAAAAAAAAGTACTTCTTTACTCTCCCTTTTATAGCTGTAACCACTTTATCTCCCACCCGATCCCAATCTTCTAATTCCTAAGCCCAGGCAGGGGCTTATTATCCTCTATTTTAAATTTTTATTATGGTTTAAAACTCTCATAGGGGTGGAAACTTAAAGCATGAATTTAGGGGCCATTTTTTTCTGTCACTCAGCTTAGTTCTCTGGAGATTTATCCCAACTGTTGCTGGAAGCAGTAGTTTACTTTTATGGCTGAGTAGTATTCTGTGAGTGGCTTTAGTGTGTTTGCCTTAACAGTTGACCTGCTGAAGGGCATCTAGGGAAGCTTTACTTTTCAACCTTGCAAATAAAATTGCTATGATCTTTTATATACATATTTTTGCATTTCATTTCATTTTCATTTCTTTGGCATAAATGTTCAAGAGCACAATTGCTAGGTCATATAATAATTTTATATATATAACCCTATACAAAATTTCAAAATGGTTCAGAATGGATGTATCATATTATTCATTGTCCACAATGTAATAGTTTTTCAAATGTTTCAGATCATGTTTTGACATCTCTTTGGATACATTATAGTAATTTAAAATATGTAAACAATGTCTAGTAATCAAATAAGTGTCTTATCTTTTCAAGTATTAAACATTACTTATGTTATGAATTTTATAGTCTTATTACTTTGAAATGACATTAATAGTTTCAAACAATAGTTACCGTATTGTAATATGCCATGGAGAACCAGAAATAACTCTTCCTCTCCAACTGTGGTTGTTCCCTGTCCCTTATTTAATGTGACTTTCCATCCACCTTTACACTACCTTTCCAAGTATAGAACTTTCAATCTATTCTTATATGAGACAACTTTTTTTTAGTTTCTCCATATGGTATTTGTGTTGATCTGCTTGTCTTATTTCATTTAATATAATGACCTCCAGATCCATCCATTCTGCTACAAAAAACAGGCTCTCATTTTTTACAACTGAATACTTCATTATGTGCACACACATACATATATCATATATGTGTGTGGAGACTTTTTTCTTGTTTATTTTATTAGTATTTTTTGTAATTTATGCAGTTTACAATCATCTTGGGGAGTGGTTACATATACATATTGTAGAAGTTTTTTATCCCTTTCCCTTTTAGCATACCTTTACTCTTCTATCTATTGATGCATAACCAGATTGATTCCATTTTTTTTCTTTTTTTTTGGTACTGGGGATTGAATTTATGACCTTGCGTTTGCCAAACAGGCACTTATGCCGCTGAGCTAAATCCCTAGCCCCTAATTCCTTATTTTAACTATTGTGGAGAGTGCTGCAATCCACAAGAAGTATAAGTATCTCTTCGATATAATGAATTTTTTTGAATATATGCTAAGTAGTGAAATTACTGGATTATATGGTGGTTCTGTTCTTAGCTTTAAAGAATTTCCATACTATTTTCCATAATGGCTCCACCATTTCACATTCTCAATACAGCATATAAGTTTCCATTTTCTACATTTTTGCTAGTATTTTTCTATTTTGACTATAACCATTTTAACAGGTAAGATGAAATCCCTTTGTAATTTTGGTTGTAGTTCCCTGATGATTATTGAGAATGAGTATTGCATATTCTCCTGGGATATGTGTCAGTGGTATTTTGAAAAGTTTTTGTTCATAACTTTAGTTCATTTTTAATTGGATTATTCAGTTTTGTGTGGAGGTAGAAATCTTTTCTAGTTCTTCATACATTCTGGATATTAGTGCCTTGTCAGATCAATAGGTTTGAGATATTATCTTCCATTCTGT